CATGTGACTTTCCCAGGTTTTTTTAAAGGTTGACTTCAAGCTACTGAGAGATGCGACTTTACAATGATCACCAAGTTTCCCGAATTGCGTCAACTTGATGGATAGGCAACATCTGTGACGGACATATTGGTGCACGTGTGAAGTTGGCACGTACAACTTTCTCTGATGGCACTCACCTCCGACCGGTGTGCATATAAATTCCATCCCTCCATCCGCTNCGCTCAAAATACTGACTTATCCCGTCTAGTATATGCGTCAACGAAAACTCCTTGCCCGAAACACTGACTGACAAGGAAAGAGTTCGTTCAAAACTTATCAGGTAACTCAGCAGTTATTTTACATTTTTGCACGCTCTATTCTGTTCTCCCGGTATTGTAATGGTCGTTTTTTTTTCTGGCTAAAAGCTGGCACATAACTTGCCAAAGTTAACATACTAATACAATCAATCGCGATTGAAGGCCATTTGGTATTTGTAGTGGACCGGGAGGGAGCACATCAGATGTTCTAAAGTGTAAAATGGACTGCGTTTGACGTTCTTAATTAGTTCTGGCATTAGGAAGAAACCCGCTCGGATGAGAAAACAGGACGACGTCCATAAAGCTCCCATCTCGGTGGCTCATATTCAGTCAATATCAGGGCACGGCACGATGATGACACGACCGTACACGTACAGCATCGGAACTGTATGTTTTGACCACAACATCCTAACCTAGCTGTATCTATTGCCGTAACAAATGTTAGCCCCGAGGGGGTACAAAAATTAGCAAGGTCATGATCCACAACCGGTTCGTACAACGATGCATCACTCTATTCACAATCCGCATCAGGGACAGAAACAACAGAAGAACACGCCTGGTGGATGAAAATCTGCTCTGTTGCGGAAGGAGAAAACATCATCGAACGACTGAACTACCGGGCACGATTCTTATCACAGAGGCTATTGCGGTAGGACAGGTTTTCGGAATACCCAATCCTATAGCCAAACTCCTTGCCCCGTCTACGGATAAGTTAATCCGTACGAACCAGTCGACCCATCAATAGTTTTCACAAATTTGTGCATCTTACCCTAACCCCACGCCCATCTATTTAGCAAACACACGGATGCGGAACACACAGACAAACACACAAAAAAGAACGTGTTGCGTGACTTACTCAGTCTTTTTCGAGATTTTCCGGGTATCCAGTGATGCAGAGAAGCGACCCATGGATGCATCTGACGTCTTGGCAATCGACAGTGCACGAGTCAACTCGTTTTTCGACCCTTGTGATTCCGCCAGTACACCGATTGGTGGAGCTGTACGGTGACAATCAGAAAATATGTAAATAATATGATGAAGGATGAAGAGAAAGAAGATGGAACCGTCATCTTTATGTGCGTGAACTGTTTAAAAAGTTTGAGAACTTTCTAAACTCAAGACAGTTCTACCAGTTCGAAAGAGTGGGATTAAACAACACCGAATTTGGATTGGACGACGGAACTTCAGCGATTTGGGCTTAATCAAGGTGGATCAGGGGCGACATCTGGCACCATCACGGAGAATCCAATCAAGAAGTTAGAGTAATTTACTAAGTTAACACCAAATCGATGAAAAAGATACCTGAAGACATGTATCCGCACTATTGTTGAACCTATTGAGATGAAACGTTTCACTCCGGATCTTTGTACAAGTGTAGCATCACGACTTTATAAGCACTGGAGATTTCACTTCGGCTGGCGATGGAAAGTTTGCAAAAAAACAATTGCCAAGCATGGCCGACAGACGAAAATGAATTCCGCTCATCCGAGCTACGAGAACCGATCTTCAAAAGTTTTTGCTTATGATATGCACCCAGAACTGATCGTATTCTATTTGGATATTTGGACAGTTCAGTTTTTACAACCATTAACCAAGCACTTTCGTGCCCCGGTTTTGGTTGCCCATTTAGATAAAAGAGCGAATTGAAGATTGGAACGTCGAAGCAAATTCAAGCGGAAGATGGGGAATACATATAGAGTGATATTAG